GTTCAGGCGAAAATGTCCGTGAGAAACGCGTGTTCGGATGGAAAAACAGCGGTTTCCAGTCGTGTTCGCGCAGTGGATATCTCTATTTGCATTCGCTGTTGGCGCTTGTTCCGCCGCGATGGCCGATACGGGGGGAAGGTTGGGAAATCTCATTCAGCCACGTCGAAAGAAAAGCGGCGACCTATGCGGAGGAACATCTTCGCTCGCGGCTCGACGAGTGCGACCTGGCACAATGCGGTGTTAAGAAATGCGGCTGGCGGTTGAAAAAAGGCTGCATTGTTCGAGCGGAGGTTAATAATGACATTAAGCTGGGTACGGTGTATGAAAACCTGCTTGACTTTTTGCATGATACACCGGTGTTATCTGCGAGCGTAACACACGTCTCTGAGTGGATATAAGTCGAAGGATAATCTCGCTGGGGATGCAAAGAGAACGGTTAAAAGCTATTGACTGGTAAATACGTGGATACGGGTACGTGGAATTATCGCAATCTCGATTTTTATGAATCGGTTCATCGATTCAATGCGATTGTCGAAAGAAATTTCAACCCCCTCGCAATGGTGGTGATTTCCTAGGTGAAAGAATTTTTGATGCACAGTCGATGCCGAACGCGTCGGTGTCAATCGATCGGTATAGGTTATTGACTGGTAAATACGTGGATACGGATACGTGGAATTATCGCAATCTCGATTTTTATGAATCGGTTCATCGATTCAACGCGATTGTCGAAAGAAATTTCAACCCCCTCCCAATGGTGGTGATTTCCTAAGTGAAAGAATTTTTGATGCACAGTCGATGCCGAACGCGCCGGTGTCAATCGATCGGTATAGGTTATTGACTGCTAAATACGTGGATACGGGTACGTGGAATTATCGCAATCTCGATTTTTATGAATCGGTTCATCGATTCAACGCGATTGTCGAAAGAAATTTCAACCCCCTCGCAATGGTGGTGATTTCCTAGGTGAAAGAATTTTTGATGCACAGTCGATGCCGAACGCGCTGGTGTCAATCGATCGGTATAGGTTATTGACTGGTAAATACGTGGATACGGGTACGTGGAATTATCGCAATCTCGATTTTTATGAATCGGTTCATCGATTCAACGCGATTGTCGAAAGAAATTTCAACCCCCTCGCAATGGTGGTGATTTCCTAGGTGAAAGAATTTTTGATGCACAGTCGATGCGGATCGCACTGGTGTCAATCGATCGGTATAGGTTAGGTTGTTTCAAACGGGATTCAACGCGAGTGAAAAACGGTGGAGGAGAGGATCGAACGGGGTCGCTGGAAAATGGCAGATTTTCCCGGAGAATAGAGGGCACCACCGCGGGGTGTCGCGGCTAGAACCGGCGGCAAGAAAGTGGCCTAATCAAAGTTCCAATCGAAGCTTAATCAATGATCTTCGAAGGAAACGAGGCGCGATTCGCGATAGGCTGCACGCCAGAAGCACCGGGGAGACACGTCGAAACGCGCGTTCCACGGATTCTTTCCGCGACCCGGTTTATTACGTAAGGAACAACGGCCGCCGCGTAATCGTTACGTTGCACGGTGAAAATCCGCCGTAACAAACGAACGTGGCAATTTCTATTAGTTTTCCCTTGCCACGGGACATGCCGCGGCGCGCACGCGCGCTTTATCCGATCGATCTCCTTGCGCTGCTTCTAGGACCATTATCGTTCGATGAATCGGTCGATGGAATGGGGAAAAAAAAGAAGAACAGAAAAAAAGCAGAAGCCGCTGTCCGTCTAGGGAATCGGAATCCGTGTCGCAATTGAAACGCGAATTTAACGAGATCGGCGTATCGTTAAACGTATACCCGTTGGAACAGAAGCGTATATTTATTTATCGGAACTCCATTTGCAGTCGGTTCAAATTTATTACCTTAACGAGAATAATTGTAATCATTTAGTCACCGGTATTTCACCGGCGAGTGTCAAACCATGGTCGACTATAGCGAGGCAGCATCGATGGGTAGCGTGGAAGAGGCGAATTTTAAATAATTCTTCGACTCGCGCGCAAATTATCCCCAGAAAGCTGAGGTTGGGGAAAAATCCCCTAGACGCGCGGCGATTCGTGGAAAGGTGTACGTAGAATGCGTACGTATAGAAATTCAGGGTATGTAGAATTGGAGGTTAAATTGGTGAGACCGCGGGGCGCATCGGAGGGTAGAGCAGCGATCTTTACGACGTTCTATGCGCAAAAGTTAACCGCCCTTCGGGCTGGATCGCAAACGCGCCGCTTGGACGGAGATGCAGTAAATACCGGTATCTGGTGTCGTAAAGTGCGGCATTGGTTTTCCACGGGAGAGGGCCGTAGGAAGAGAGGGCTGTCCGAAGGAAGCGAGAAGGAAATGGGGAAGAAAGGGTTGGCGGAAAGGGGAGGAGAAGAGTAGAAGGAGAGACGGAGTTTGTGGAAAGGTATCGGAGAAAGAGGGGTAGAGGAAAAAAGGGAGGCGGAAAGAGAGAGGGACAAGAAGGAGAGGACCAGGGCAGCTCGCCACGTAATTTATGTCTCGAGCGCACCGCGGTACGCCGCAACCGCGTTGACAGTTGAAACACGGCGGCGACTCGGATTGGTCGGCTCCGGGCGCCTTATAGGGTCGCGCGCATGCGCACACCGCCTTACGACATCCATCAGAGGCGACCGGCTACTGCCGTCAGCATGCCACTCTTTATCTTTCTCCTTTTCTCTAGCCCCCTTGCCCTTTGCCGATGTCAACCGAGCCGTAATCCGCTGTCACTTTGGATACTGTCCCCGTCGCCGTCTTGCTCTTCGTGCCTGTTAGGTTGTTGTCCTATTTCGCCTATTCCGGTTGTCGGTCTGACGACCAGCAGACCTATCCTACCTAGTGGTCGCCGCGTCTTCCGACCATGTCCTTTACGGTCCCTCCTCGTCCGCTTCGGTCGAAAGTGTCTTCTCCATCTTCGGTTCTCCGTTCGTCTCTTACTTTTACCGGGATGCTTTTTCCCACTGCCTTCGTCGTTGGGAATTATAGGTTTTTCACCGGTGCCAGACCTACGGCGTCCACGTTGACGCGGCGTTTTTCCACCCGCAGCGCGTCTTTTGTCCTTTCCACCGTGCCCCGTCCTTCCACCTTCGTTTCTCGGACCTTCGATCGGCAAAGCTGGCCACCTTTCCTTACTTTCACTGCGTCCGTGTTTCTCCCTCTTCCCATACGCTCCTTCTTCCTCTCCGTCTCGATTTCTCGCGACGGATTTTTTTGCCAAACGGTGACACAGTTTCGACTTTCGTGGACACTCCGTGACGGAGGTGTGAGAATTTCACTCGAGCAAATCGACCACGCTTCTTTTTCACGCGACTGCGGTTAGATCGCCGGGATTAGGCTCTCTCTCTCTCTCTCTCTCTCTCTCTCTTTCTCTCTCGGTCGGTTTTTCGATACGGCTACTGAACCGTGAACGGTGAAACACACCGGCAATGCTGGTCCGGGTGCCGAGGGAGACCGTGTTGCAAAATAGACGCCCGTGAAACAATCGTTTAACGCCGCGACATTACGGATCAATTAACGTATTAGACTCTACTCGCCTGCAGGACTTTGCATTCTCATTATAGCCAGACGTTTTGTCCGCTCCTATCGTGTAACGAAATTAACGCTATTAAACGACATTAACACCTCGTTTTACGACTTTTTTAATCGATACTAAACCACCGTCGACTGTTCATTAGGATTCGGACTCGACACTGTGACAGAAAGTATCCCTGTCGCTTAACTCGATATTACTATGCAGCCGGTTAAGAAACGAGTGCTCGTTTCGCCATTTTTCCCATTACCGTAGAACGTCCATTATCGAAATTAATGGACAGATAAAGTCGTTGGGATAATCGAGCTGGGAGGAGCGAATTTTGAATTGCGTCACAAAGCGACTACGTTTCCGCAAATAAAAATTCGTAACAAATGGTAATGTAAAGAAGAAGAAAGGGAAAGATTATATTATCTGGTATTTGCCTAGCTTTTGGAAAATTCGCAAAGCGGATATGTCGGCTGGAAAGTGCTGATCTTTGATTCTGCGATCGCATAATCGACGTTCTACCATAATCGCAAATATTCCGAATTATCCATTGTTCATTTGGAATATTTTAAAAATCCGTGACTGGATGTTTGTTCCAGCAGCCGGCCAGCTCGCAGGAGCGTGGCAGCGGCTTGGCTGTGGGGCGTCAAGGGGGGCCCGGCAGCGCGGGGGGGCCCGGAGCAGTGGACCAGGCGAGGGACCTAAGTCCCTGCCTCCCTGCGTCTATGGGCGACGCTGCACGACCTACCACCTTACCGTGCAGTCCTCCTGCCGCCCACCATCACGGGCCCCATCATACACCCCTGCATCAGACCCACTGCGGCACCAACAACAACTGCTACGACGGACCTACCACCCCCTACGACTCTAGGGACTATGATTCTCCCGGAGGTTAGTTATCTCGCATTCTCATTTGCATGGAATTCACCTTACTCGCGTTATCTCGCAAATATTTAATCCCTCGTGCTCACACACGGCACTGCGTAATATTCCGTCGCGTAAAAGGCTAGAATTATTCTGCCCTTGTATCCTGTGACGATTAATACTCCCACGTATACACGATGAATTTCATCCGTCGTGAGAATCCTCGATATTAGGTGTGCAGAAAATTTGCGATTTTAATTTAACACTTGTAATTGCGAAGAATTCCCTTCGTTTCCCTTTTGTAATCACGATAACAAAGGGAAAATACTTTCGAGTACCAACACTTTGCGGTCCCACGTCGAATTTTTCTACGCGAAACATAGTCTCGCATATTTTAATTTTATTCGACAAGAACGGAGTCAAGTTTTGATCATCCAATTTTCCAAAATTCTTGCCTATGAACCACCCAGAATAAGGTGTCGAACGCGACCTGGCCCGCAAAGTGCTTACATTTTGAAATCTCTGGAAACGCGATATTCATGGTATTAATTTTATCGATGGCCGACCAGGTGGCCAGGAATACAGGAACAACAACAGCAACTTCGAGAACCCGAGCGACCTGAGCATGCCTCCTCAAACGCACCACCACCATCACCACCATCACTCGCATCTGCACCCGCAGACTCACTCGCAGGAGCAGCAGACCACGGAACACTTGCACGCCATCCCGAAGCTGGAGCCGCCACCCACCCCGCCAGCGCAGTCCGAGGATATTCCGGGGGTGGTTTGCGCCGGATGCGGCCTCCGGATATCCGACAGGTTTTACCTGCAAGCGGTGGACAGGCGGTGGCACGCGGCCTGCCTTCAGTGCTCGCACTGCCGTCAGGGCCTCGACGGCGAAGTCACCTGCTTCAGCAGGGACGGAAACATTTACTGCAAGAAGGACTACTATCGGTGAGTGGATGCAGACATTCGTTATGGTGATTAACCCTCGACTGGTTACGTAAACGCTCGAGGCCGATTCGATTCTCGCGAGAGACGTGATCGAGGGTCTACGATACCGGGTTATCTGGCCGTGAATAAACCTCGCATTTTTCTGCCTCGATACACGAATACAGTCGAGGGTTGAGATTTATGTTATAATTTCTCACAATTTTTCATTGGCACTCCGAGATCGTCCTAGCCGACCCACGGAGTCTATATTTAAATCGATTTGCTCTTTGCAAATTTGTATTCGGGGAGTTTGGGTCCACGTGTGCAAGAATCTTACGAATCTCGGATGATCCCGGAGACCCGGTCGATTAGCCGGATATTTAGCCACGCGCTGTTCCCTTTCGGCCATTAATGGTATCAAATCGTGGACGATAGTCGGCTAAAGAGGGACACAAAGAATTTCACGCTACAGGGGTGAATACCGAATTCCGCGTTATCCGGCTCGAGGTTTATACCCGAACTCGTAGATAGGAAATAGTCAGAGGTAATTTATAACCGGGGAGGAATGGCGGTTCGTTAAATTCTCGGCGTCGAATTAAACTAGGGATCTCTATTAGTACGCAGGTCGCTCTTTATCTCGCAGATAAAAGGCCTAGCCTCTCGTTAGAGATTCGCAACGATGGTCAATAAGGACGAACGTGGGGAATCGTAAAAGCAAAGTTTCCAGTGTTCTTGTTAATAAATTGTTGAATTGCCTGGTCTTCTAATTCTCGTATGCGTTAAATAAATTGCACAGTGCTGCATCTGTCCATTTTGTTCATCGATAGTAATGGCCGTGGCTATGGTTTATAACCGTGTTTATATCTACATGAATCTTCGTGCGACTGGCTGATAATCTTTGCTGCTGAGCAATTAAACGAAACCGCAAAGTATAGTGTCTCTGGCGTTTATCGACAACGCTACCCGAGGAAATCCGTAGTTCTGCGGTCGACTCCCTATCGGGTCGCATTCGGACCACCATATTTGCATTGCTACGACTGAATTTTCCTTTCCATCCCACTCTCTCTCACTCGAAATTTCGGTTAGTTTGAGTTAGTTTGAGTTACTCTTTCTTCATCTCTTCGACTCGGTAATTGGCCCATTCTTTGAAGTATGTATCCATCTATATGTATCTATGAACTGTGTGTGAGTTTGTTGTATAACAATTATATATTTATTGTAAATTATAATATACACACGTGTCTTATCTCCTAAATGTTCACTCTCACGCTTTTTGTAATAAGTTGAAACTCCTCATAACATATTGGCTCTGATCTATAACAATTGCACAATTCCACACATTCTAGATCTTCCAAACGTACTTCCAAAAATATACATATCTACACTCGTGTCATTACTCGACCTCACACACTCTCATTCACACTAATAAAACCAAATCCACACTATGTAGCTATTCATTTTTCTAGCTATATTTATTTCTATTTATAATTTGCAAATTTTCTGAATTATTTGTGCTTTTAAATTTATTCCTGCGATTCTGTAATATTTTCCTTCATTAATTCGTTCCATTTATTGGTGATTCCTCGTCATAGTTATTCTTTATATATTTCTATATTTATTTGTACTTAATCTTTAGGTTCTATAATTTCTCGATTTTAAATTCTACATGTTCCTAATTTTTCATTGGCTCTGATCTATAACAATTGCACAATACCACGAATTCTAGATCTTCCACTCATATTCACATTAATAAAATCAAATCCACACCATGTATCTATCTATTTTTCTAGCTATGTTTATTTCTATTTATAATTTTCAAATTTTATGAATTATTTGTGCTCTTAAATTTATTCCTGCGATTCTGTAATATTTTCCTCCATTAATTCGTTCCATTTATTGTTGATTCCTCGTCATAGTTATTCTTTATATACTTCTATATTTATTTGTACTTAATCTTTAGGTTCTATAATTTCTTGATTTTAAATTCTACGTGTTCCTAATTTTTCATTGGCTCTGATCTATAACAATTGCACAATACCACGAATTCTAGATCTTCCACTCGCATTCACACTGATAAAATCAAATCCACACCATGTATCTATCTATTTTTCTAGCTATGTTTATTTCTATTTATAATTTGCAAATTTTCTGAATTATTTGTGCTCTTAAATTTATTCCTGCGATTCTGTAATATTTTCCTCCATTAATTCGTTCCATTTATTCTTGATTCCTCGTCATAGTTATTCTTTATATACTTCTATATTTATTTGTACTTAATCTTTAGGTTCTATAATTTCTTGATTTTAAATTCTACGTGTTCCTAATTTTTCATTGGCTCTGATCTATAACAATTGCACAATACCACGAATTCTAGATCTTCCACTCGCATTCACACTGATAAAATCAAATCCACACCATGTATCTATCTATTTTTCTAGCTATGTTTATTTCTATTTATAATTTTCAAATTTTATGTGATTCCTCGTCATAGTTATTCTTTATATATTTCTATATTTATTTGTACTTAATCTTTAGGTTCTATAATTTCTCGATTTTAAATTCTACATGTTCCTAATTTTTCATTGGCTCTGATCTATAACAATTGCACAATACCACGAATTCTAGATCTTCCACTCATATTCACATTAATAAAATCAAATCCACACCATGTATCTATCTATTTTTCTAGCTATGTTTATTTCTATTTATAATTTTCAAATTTTATGAATTATTTGTGCTCTTAAATTTATTCCTGCGATTCTGTAATATTTTCCTCCATTAATTCGTTCCATTTATTGTTGATTCCTCGTCATAGTTATTCTTTATATACTTCTATATTTATTTGTACTTAATCTTTAGGTTCTATAATTTCTTGATTTTAAATTCTACGTGTTCCTAATTTTTCATTGGCTCTGATCTATAACAATTGCACAATACCACGAATTCTAGATCTTCCACTCGCATTCACACTGATAAAATCAAATCCACACCATGTATCTATCTATTTTTCTAGCTATGTTTATTTCTATTTATAATTTGCAAATATTCTGAATTATTTGTGCTCTTAAATTTATTCCTGCGATTCTGTAATATTTTCCTTCATTAATTCGTTCCATTTATTGGTGATTCCTCGTCATAGTTATTCTTTATATATTTCTATATTTATTTGTACTTAATCTTTAGGTTCTATAATTTCTCGATTTTAAATTCTACATGTTCCTAATTTTTCATTGGCTCTGATCTATAACAATTGCACAATACCACGAATTCTAGATCTTCCACTCATATTCACATTAATAAAATCAAATCCACACCATGTATCTATCTATTTTTCTAGCTATATTTATTTCTATTTATAATTTGCAAATATTCTGAATTATTTGTGTTTTTAAATTTATTCCTCCGATACTGTAACATTTGTCTTCATTCATTCCTTTGATTTATCGTTAATTCCTCCGCATATTTCTATATTTATTTCTACTCAATCCTTAGTTTCTATAATTTCTCGATTTTAAATTCTACATGTTCCTAAATTTTCCCTCCGATTTCTTAACATTTGCTTCCATTCATTCCTTCGACTTATCGTTAATTCTTCCATATATTTTTATATTTATTTCAAATTTAGTCTTCCGGTTTTATTCTTCGATTTTCCAAATTCTACGTGTTCTTAAATTTTTCCCTCTCATTTTGTAATATTCCTGTAATAATAAAAATTGTTATTATATATATAACTATAAATATAAAAATTATCTGTTCGTTATTCTCCGCGTGGATGACGATTAATGCTTCCGCAATAAATGGACATTGGATTGTAGGTTTCGTGGAAAAGCCGATCTCGTAATTTTCCCTCGAATTTCAGTTCGCCTCCGTTTTCCTTCGCGTCAATAAGGCTGGTAGCTCGTCGCGAAGAATACGCTTGGCCGCTCGTCAGGGCGGCAAGTCAACCGCGAAGCGGCAATTTCTGTAATTCGAGGGGCCATTCCGGTGAGGCCGTCCGCGATTTCAGAGCGCGCGTGATTTCAAAGCGGACTGGCGCGTTTACGCAACGGCTGAACTGCGACGACGGGGGCCTCGCGGTCTCTTCGTCAGCGACGATAAGGGCCCGTTTTATCGACGTGCACGCGATTGACAGTAAATTACCATAGAGCACCGAGCGGCCACGGAGGCGAATCACGCATGGAAGAAGAAAGAGTTATCGTGACGGGGCTGGCTCGCGGCGCGGAAAACAATGAGATACCGCGCGTTTATGTAAGTCCGCTTGCCTTTGCTCGAAACCGCACGCTATTTCGAGAATGTCGATTCTGGGGGAGAAGAAATTCGCGTTTCGTGCAGCCGCTTCTCCTGGAACGCTGTCGAACAGCGTGCATGCACTCTGTAGTACTGTTTACTCCACGTTACACTCGCTTTTGGCATTACTTCTGTCGTGAATTATCTTGGATGGATTATGTTTTACCAGGATAATGTCTCGGAATAACTTTAACTTTAACATTCTTTACGATATGGAAGCAACTTCCACCGTTTGGTTCTATTCGAATTGCCAAAAAGATACCAGATGTCGCTAGAAGCGTCTAGTAACATGGCGCTGGAGGTTAGAACTCTGCAACAACTTCGACAGTGGAATCATTGAAAGAATGACAAAAGAATGACGATATTTTGATATTTATTTCTTAAATTGACGCATGTTTGCGTTTTCCAGGGAAAATTCAAGTTGCTCTTCATCAACAGAGAGGCATACGAATATTTGTACCTGTTTAGTCTTGATATACTTCATTAAACTTAATAAATCCGAGGAAAATGAAATCCGTGCTAAGCGATTCCGAATGGAGGACTACCAGAACACTACTCTGTAAAATTTATTACTCCGAAAGCAATAATGCTAATTTCTACCCACGACGACATTCGTTTATTTTTCTAAGGAAATCGCAATTATGGAAACGATCTAACCGCTTTTAATAAATTAACGTTGAATTTCATTAGCATAGGAACACGATTACGTATAGGAACCTATTTACTTCCATCAC